TTGCACAGAAAAGAGTGATCGTTCCATCCAGTCAGGTCCTCAGCTCTGCGCCTTCATGATGCTTCATTGTGACAACACAGCAGTCATTCCATCCGTGGGCAACCACTGGGGAGTACTGGCCAGTTTGTGTACCACTGTGGCTCTGGAGACAAAGGCAAGTCTTTTGTCTTTGGAGATATACCTATACTCTAAAATTCACGGAATGTATATATTGATAAGCAATCACCTACCCAAGAGGGTTCTTCAGAAGAAAGGAATCATGCAGTGTAGCTAGGTAAAATTTTCAAAACACGTGAGACCATGTAAAATTTGAACCTTGAGATCTCACATGAAGCAAATATTTTAGCATGATTTATACTAAGGGATAATCCAGAGTGGGTTTGTTTGTTGGTTGGTTTGTTTGTTGGAAAGTACAAAGGAGTCTTTGGGAAGATGTGTGATGCAGTAGGGAGAGCACTGGAATGAGACATTACAGCAGTGTTTCTCTCCTGTGTGTGATCCTGGCAAGCTTTATGACCTTGGACAAGTCACTTTACCCCTGGGGCCTCATCCTATAGAATGTGTGGACTGGATTAAATGGTCTCAGTGATCCATTCTTTTCCTAACAATCTAAGGCTTCATGTGAATGAGCATGCCAGCTACTAGATTCTTTATTCCTTTGAGCCTTCATAATAACCTCAGGAAACCTAAAGCTACAGTATTTCTATTTGGTGATGCAATACCCCATGGATGATCTGAGGGCTTGGTGTTTATGTAAACCATGTTCCATGATGATGCAGGTGAATAGTGGCATAGGGAGAGTAGAAAATTTGCCATAAAATGAAGAAGAAATTGTTGTAAAACTTGTAGTGCAGCTGGATAAAAACTATGAAAAGACAAGCAGTTTAGCTTAATAACCAATCAAGATTTCTTTTTCTATTGAAAAGATTACAAATATATATGTGGAAAGGTCAACTTTTTGCATTTTTTATTGTTTCTATAAAATGGATATAAATAACAAAGGATCTATGAATCTGTGTTCTTTCCTTGATACATTTTTTTAAAATGAAGTTGAGTTTTAGATACTTTAACTTGAAATGCTAAAAAGCAAAGTGTAGTTTTGTGACTAGACTTTCAAGAAGGCATTTAAAATACCTTCATTTTCTTATGTTGTAGCCCACAAGCTGATGAGGGGTTTGGTAGGTGTTGAGCAGCTGTGATAGCAGCATGTCTCTTTATTTATTGATGAAAATCCCACTGGAGAATTGTCTGGAATAGAAAAATAGCTCAAACCATGTCTGTGCTGAATGGGAGAAAATATACAAAGGGGGAAAAAAGCTTACAAGAGAGAATAGGAGACTGCTGATCACTGGTATCATCTTTAGAAAGAAGTCATCAAGGATGAAAATGTGAGATTTGGAGATTAATGAAAAAGTAAAACTTTTTAAAACAAAATATAAGAAAAAAATAATAATCCAATGAGAGGGGAAATGTTGCATTAATTCAGTGTCTTTAACATAGACATAAAAAATATCATTACGTTCTAAGTGAATTAAAAGATGACTCTGATTCATCCATTTTTTTGTGCTGGAAGCTGCCCTACAGAATATCTATGCCAACTTCTTCATTTTTGGATGTGGTAACCAAGTCCCTAAGAAACTGCTTGATTAAGAGTCCATGATCAATTGCTAAATTAATGTGCAGATAAGAATATGTCCCCAGACGCCCAGACAGAACTCCAGGTTCCCAGTCAAGTGTCTAGCCCCTTTCCTAGATGACAAAATAGGATGGAAAGGGTTTACACTCAGACAGCAAGCATTGGTTATTTGATCTCAAGGACTTTTTCTCTTTGAAATCATGTTCATTAAGTGCAGTAAAATTTTCTGAGAGAAAGTCTACCAGGAAAATTCTGTGCATGTTACTCCACCTCTTGATAAAGCATTTTAAAGTATAAAAGTTGGACGTTAAAGAACAGTATTAAATTTATTAGTTGAGGGAATGTAGATACACTTTTTGTATATATGGAATATGTTTATGTACATTTAACTGTATATCTGCCTGTACACTGTGTATTTTCTTGTCTTACCTCTACGTTGATTGCGCCAATATTAACTGTTGATTGATTATGAGGGTGGTGCATGGTAGAAATAAACCATAGAAAATTATTTGATATGGAGCATCTCAAAGTGTGACTAACATTAGATGATCATGCAAACTTTACTAAAATTTAAAAGATGTAAACATACGTTCTTTGCCGTACCACTTTTGGTGGTGTTAGGAAATCTCTCTGAAATTCTAAGAAGTAACAATGTCTTACCACTATAGAACAATGGCATCTTAAGGCATTTCTCAGCTGTAGAAATTGGGACGCTTTTCGACTTCAGGGAGTGATTCTACCACAAACACAGATACGGTAAGAAATGGCACCCAAGGAGTTGATGCCATCAGTAGCACTGATGCTATATCCTGCCTTTACATTCCTTTCTACTGGCTCTAGAATAAGAATAGAAACTATATTAATATTATATTTTAAATCATTAATATTATAAGTTGCTTTAACAGTAATAGAAAGTTGGATTATTGTACAATTCCATTATCAGGTAATATTTCTGTCCTTTAAAACAGTCACTCAGGCACAGTTATTGCCGGTTTCTCAGTCTACACAACAAAATAAGAAGCAATCATGGAAATGCCTGGCAGGGAGGGGAGAGGGGAGTAAGAATCAAAAATAATGGGGCTTCCCTGGTGGCGCAGTGGTTGGGAGTCCGCCTGCCAATGCAGGGGACGCGGGTTCGTGCCCTGGTCTGGGAGGATCCCACATGCCGCGAAGCGGCTGGGCCGGTGGGCCATGGCCACTGGGCCTGCGCGTCCAGAGCCTGTGCTCCGCAGCGGGAGAGGCCACAGCAGTGAGAGGCCCGCGTATCGCAAAAAATAATAATAATAATAATAAAATAAATAAATAATGCCAGGGCAAAAATCTGTCTTTGTAAGATTACCTTTTACTTGTTATGTATAAAATGGTAAATATTTTAAAGAGCCTATTTCTCCTCACTGTCTAAACAGAGCTGTAGTATTAAGAGGAAATTTAAAAAGTGATATTACAAATATGCAGTGTAATAGACCATTAGTTTATAAAATGGAAGTGGCTGTTGCAGTTTAGCACAGAATGCAAATCACTATTGAAACACTGCAGTTTGTTATATTATGAGCAGTCAGAGATCATGCATAATGCAGTGGGAAAAAAGAGAGCAGCCTGATCACACACCATCATTTTAACCTGATTCTGTGCCCATGAAGAATTGATATTTGAAATGATCTCTGGTGAGGTTTGGCCGGATGCAAGTAGCTTCTGCAGGGGAATATGTTTGGTTCTCATTTTGCATCTTCTGCATATTTATAGAATACGGAATAAGAATGATTTTAATTATGCATGGGTTGAACTTCAGTCCAGGATATGTTTGAGGTCTTAACTGTTCAGGTGACAGTAGACTTCCACAGATTATCCAGTTGCTCTGTCAATGGACACAAAAAATGGTTCTGTGTAAACTCTTCATCTGCAGGGCCAATATTAACTTGACACTTTTTTTTTTTTACGTTTTAGTTAAAATTTTATTCATGATCATATTCTTAATCACAACATATTTAATTGCAAAACAACCTGTCTTAGAATAATACAGTATGAGATGCATTTGACCAACCGTACAAATACAGTAATTATAATACTCAAATCTTAGGTTCATAGATATTTAATGTATTACATGTGCATGACAATTAAAAAAAAAATCCTGTCTTGAAAACTTTATAGAAGCGCTTCTCCTTTCATCAAATATAAGGCTCACATGAGCCTATAACAAAACTTAATACTGTTCATGTGTCAAAGGACAAGGCTAAGCAATAAGTTATTCTTTTAAAAATATCTATGAACCAGAACAATTTTCTGTTTGAGTTTGAGAAGCCAAAGACTATTAAGGAATATTTTAAGGCTGAATAGAATCAACAAAGGTAAATAAGGAGACTGGGAAGAAAGAAATAGTTCAGTATTAACAATGCAGTATATCTGCCAGGTTCCTGTGCTCAGCCAGATCATCTTGAAAACATGAATTCTGAGTTTAGTAAAGTGTCATACAGTATCTAGTTACATCAGATACCTGATGAAAGTGCTTTTCTGAAACTGTTTCTTCTCTTTTATATATGGACTTTAAAGAAATCCAAACAAATACTGCAATGCAGTGTTTTGAAAAACATATAAACTGCAGAAATGCCCACAATAACAAATGATATCAGGAGGTACAGTAATTGAAATGTATCAGGACATATAGGTACAGTTAATTGAAATGGCATGGTAATGTGAAATGTTAAAAGGAATGGTAATGTGAAATATAAAAAGGATGACTACATAATTTCTACTTCCAAACCTGAAGTAAAATTACAGAATGATGAACTCATTACTTTATGTAGCAACTAGGAATTGCTACCTTTAAAATATTAATTCTTTCAATGCTTATTTTTGGATTGCCTACTATTTAACAGGTACCATGTGTGGTGCTACACTGATTAATAAAACAAGGTTCTCTGCAAAGAAAGAAACCTTTGTCTAGGAAGTACTCATTATATACTTCTTACAAATTTAGTTAAGTATGGCTTTTGGAACTAAAGAAAAAAATTTTCCAAAAAGTTAACTTTCTAATTAAGAATGCATACGCACATAAATAGTTAAGTCAAGATTTCAGAGGCTCATAAATACTTAGAAACTCTAAATTGCTAATTGACTATTTCAGTTGATGTGATACCTGTCTCATCAACTGGCCTGCATATTTTTCCCAAAGTACATTCTTAACACGCAAAAATTTTTAAAACAATGAAACAAACATTTCAGCCATTCTTGCATACCTACTCTTAGTAAAATACAGAACAAGTTGCAATTTTTAATCGGGACATCGAAGACAATTTAAACCAATCATATGATTCAAGTGAAACAGATGTCCTGAATTTTGTAACACCATCAGTAAACCTGGAGAGATGCAACTGTGATTGAATGTGTGAAGCTGTTAGAATTAATCCTCATCATCTCTTTGAAGAGGTATTATCTGAATTTCTTTGGCTATCCTTTCCCCTAATGTCTTATTGTTTGAAGCAATTATTCTTCGTGACATTAAATCAAATGGTCCACCTGTTACATCCAAGAGTACTCCACCAGCTTCAGTCACAATAACACCAGCACCTGCTACATCCCAGCAGTGAATTCCCATTTCATAATATGCATCTGCAACTCCAGCTGCCACAAGGCACATATTAAGAGCTGCTGTTCCAACACCTCGGATCCCATGGATGGGAAGGCAAAGAAGCCTTTCCATATTAGAAAGAATAGTTCTCACAGTCTCTGGTGTTCTGGAAGAGCCCAACTCTGTCACCAAGAGTGATTTGGTAACATCTTCTTGGCGTGAAACCTGTAGTTTTTGACCATTACAAAAGGCACCTTTTCCTTTCCGGCCAGCATACATCTTATCCTCCATGCAACTGTATACAATTCCAAATTCCATCTTTTTATTAACAACAAAGCCAATTGAAACAGCTACAAAAGGAAATCCATGTACAAAGTTAGTTGTTCCATCAATAGGGTCAATGATCCACGTAGGGCTGTCAGTTAAAATACTTTTTTCCCCAGCTGCCACAGATTCCTCACCAATGAAACTGTGAGATGGATACTTTTCCTTTATGGAAGAGATAAGCATTTTTTCAACTTTTTGGTCAGTAGCAGTTACCAAATCAACTGGAGAACTTTTGATCATAATATTCATTTCATTTTTTAGGGCTTCACGAGCCATCTCTCCAGCTTGTCTTGCTAGAGTTACTGCATAATCCATGCATTCCTGCCAAGGATCAGCCATCTTCTCGGGGCGAAGGGCTTGAGGCTCGCTAGGATACCAGCCGCATCCAACGCTGGCCTCTTCCGGAGAGCTTAACTTGACACTTGTATGCTTTCTAAAGATGGCCTCAAATTGATCATAAAGTCAAGTTTTGTAGCTTTCATTCTGTCATTTAAAGTTGTTTTCAGGAAGTGTAAAAACGGGTAAAGTTAATTGTTGTTCCTTAATGAACAGAGAGGCGAAAATAGATCATAATCAAACCTCTCTAAATTGCACTAGGTCATGGGTGTCCCTTTGGATCGCCATCACTAAATGAACCTCTAATTCATCTTGAATTCTTGTAGACATTTCTTAGAAAAGCCCATTGCCATGGAAATCACATAATTAAATTGTCCAAATCGAGTAAAGTACAACTCAGAGAGGTTAAGGAACTTATCTAATGTCGTAGGGCAGCGATGATACTCAGATTCAAGTCTTCTAACTTCCAAATATTCTCTTTCAAAGGAAAATGTCACATCTTTAGAATGCTAGTCCACGTATAAACTGTGGCACTTAATGTTATTTGTAAATTTGAAAGATGGAAGAGTAGAGATGTTGAAATAAGTTCTTGAATTTTTAATAAAATTTAGGGAAAATTTGTAGACCACCTTTGGCATAAGGGTAGCTAGAAATTATATATCTGTATTCCCTTGTTTGTATATGACATTTAGCCCTTAGGGTAAGCTCATAATATGGTAAAGTGATGCTTAAAGCCTCAAGAAAATGTCCATACATGATACCTGGACTCTTTTCATCAGTTGCAGGAAAACTAGTGAACTACTGCAGCTTTCGAGCTAAGCTATGGCTGATTAACGCAGACATGGACAAGTTTGAAAATGGGAACCTTGAGACCAAAAAATTCAGGTGTGGACTAGCTTAAATTAGTTCACATTTTGATGAATTTCTGTAACATCCACTCTAGCACTGCATAATTGGAGCCAGACTGCCTGGGTCCAAGTGCAGTTCCCCCATATTCCGATGGTGTGACCAGGATAGCCAGTTAAATAGGTGAAGTCACTTATCTCATAGGGTTGTTGTTAGGACAAAAGGAATTAAAGTACATAACAGATAGTAATCACTGGGTAAGTATTAGCTGTTACTAATAGTAGTAGTGGTGGTACTATCACTATGAATAGTGCAGGATCCACATTTGTTTTCTTGAAGTAGTTGATACAATCACTTTCAAATTGCCCAACTTTTTTTTCCAAATTAGAAGGTAATATGTCCTTTTTTAAAAAATAAATTTATTTATTTATTTATTTTTGGCTTTCTCTCGTTGCGGCGAGTGGGGGCTACTCTTCATTGCAGTGCACGGGCTTCTCATTGCAGAGGCTTCTCTTGTTGCAGCGCACGGGCTCTAGGCGTGCGGGCTTCAGTAGTTGTGTCTCGTGGGCTCTAGAGCGCAGGCTCAGAAGTTATGGCACACAGGCTTCGTTGCTCCGTGGCATGTGGGATCTTCCCGGACCGGGGCACGAACCCATGTCCCCTGCATTGGCAGGCGGATTCTTAACCACTGCGCCACCAGGGAAGCCCCGATAATATGTCCTTGAGATACATTTGTGGTCACAAAATGATAATGGATATAAAATATTAAAAGAAAATTATGTCAGTAATTGATCCCATTATTCTATGAGTACCTTATTATTAATTGAAAAATTTTATAATAGATACCTTTGAAGTACTAATCCTAGTGCTTAATATATGAAAGGTAAGTTTCCAGTTTAAAAGAAAATTAGATATTAGTGACACCATAAATTGCAAGCTTTATTCAGGGCAATAGAAGCAGATGCACTGATTGAACACTTTTTAAAAAATTTTTTTCTTATTTATTTATTTTTAATTTATTTATTTTTGGCTGCGTTGGGTCCTTGTTTCTGCACGCAGGCTTTCTCCAGTTGCAACGAGCTGGGGCTACTCTTCGCTGCAGTGTGTGGGCCTCTCATTGCAGTGGCCTCTCTTGTCGCGGAGCATGGGCTCTAGGCGTGTGGGCTTCAGTAGTTGTGGCCCTTCGGCTCTAGAGCGCAGGCCCAGCAGCCATGGCGCGCTGGGCCCAGCTGCTCTGTGGCGTGTGGGATCCTCCCAGACCGGGGCTCGAACCCATGCCCCCCATCTTGGCAGGCAGATTCCCAACCACTACGCCACCAGGGAAGCCCTGAACAGTTTTTATATGTTGCCAGTGGTGGCAGAAGAGGGAAAAGTCTACCCGAGGCTATATATAATATTGATCAGTAATATGCTACAGTTTATGATATCACTAAAAATTGCTAAGAATCAAGATGTAGGAAGAAATGGTAAATAGCTGAGCAGTTGTACAGCAGCTTTAATAAGTAAAGGAAAAAGAAATCATAAGATATGAGTTGAGCAATACTGGAGCATGCACAAACTCTAAATACTTTATTAAAAGCTGAATTTGATATATTTAGAGAAACTAAGAAGTCTTTTATTTTTGTGGTTTTTGTTTTGAAGTAATTTGTTTAATCAGTGTTATGTAGCCACTATTCTGTTGCTGGTGAAGATAGGAAGAAACTTCAAAAATTGAATTATGTTTATGAAAATGAATAAAGCAAACATGTTAACTAATTAAATTAAGTACAACTGGATAAAAAGAAGAAAATAATATTACTGTACAAGAACATTGACTCTGTAGCAAAAGGAAAATTCTGTCCTTTATATAAGAATAGTGATCTTGTAAGTCAGACTGTGTTCAAGTTCCTTTTAAAAGCATTTCAAAAGTAATGTTCCAAACAATAGCTCAGAATGCCCCTTTTTAAATACTTATTTTTACTACACAATATGTATATACTATTCCAAATGTTTTTTATGTATGTGTGCATTTATATGCATCGTTTTATAAAATAATATTATATAAACTATTTTTTAACCTTCTATGACGATTACTAATGGCTCACGAATATATTCCCACACCATTAAATTGTGTACTATTATCATCATTCTAAATTGCTATATAGTATTTTATTGAATGGATATTCACTAATTTACTTAATCAAAATATTTTCAGAATGTATCTGAAAGACAAATGTTGTAATCACAGCAACGTTACATTAAAATCTATAGTCAGCCTTTAAAAAAATACATTTCCTGTTTCAAAGACAATGAACCATAAAATGCTAACTATTATCTATACCATATTTCTTATTACACTGAATAATCTAACCTAGTCTAATGTGTAAATGAATTAAATTAAGTGCTGAAACTGAGTAAAATATTTATAACTCTTTCTAGGTTATAGATACAAATTTTGCAGCTACAAATTGAGCCACTAAATAGAACGTATGACAGTTTTATATCTTAGAAACCAAGTTCTATTTTGGATAAAATTCTATATCAGAATGTTATTTTTTCAAACTTTATGGAAGTACGTTCTTTCTTTCTATACATCTTTGTACAGCATATAAAGAAACTGTTCTTTATATTTTAGGTAGATATTTTTAGCCTATGTTTTAATTTTAACGATATTATATATTTGAAAAAAGTAAACATCAATTTGTTTAAAAAGTTAATACACTGTGGTACAACCATATCATTGACTTCTATGCAAAAAAAAAGGAACAAACTATTGATACATGCAACAACTTAGACTGATTTCAAAGGAACTATGCTGAGTGAAAAAAGTCCATCTCAAATATTTACAGACTGGATGATTCCATTTATATGACATTCTTGAAATGACACCAATATAAAGAAGAGATCAGTGGTTTGGCAGGGGTTAGGGCTGGAATGGGGCAAGAGGGTCATGTGGCTATAAGGAGGTAGCAAGAAGGAGCCTTATGGTGATAGAGTAGTTCTGATCTTGATTGCATCATAGTTACATGTATCTACACATGTCAGAATTGCATAGAGCTATACACACACACACATACATACAAGCACAAGTCTTTTAAACCTGGTGACATTGGAATAAACCCTGTGGATTGTACTAATGCCAGTTTTCTCATTTTGATATTGTACTGTTGTTATGCAGGATATTGTCACTGGAAGAAACTGGGGTCCTCCTGGTACATTTTTGCAACTTTCTGTGAATTTATACATGAATAGAAAAATTAAAGTGAGTTACGGAAACATTTAAAAAAATTTTTTTGAATTGTTAAGAGAGTTTAATGTTAGGGCCTAGCGCGGTTTGAAAGAAGAGAGACTAAATCAATAGAAAATGACATTGTTCTTTTTTAAGTCATATTCTGCTACCAATAGTGCCTTAGTTAATATGGGAACTGCCTGTTAGTCCAACTTTGAGCTTTTTTTTCAGATAATTGCCTATACACTTGAGCCTTGAAATAGCCATACATATTTTAGGCAAAATTATCTTTTAAATTAGAATGTATCCATAAAGAAATTTTTATGCGTCCCTGAGAAAAGTATATAAACTATTCAGTGTAGCATTCTTAATTCATTTACGTATTATAATTGCATCTCTGCCTTAAGAAAAAAAGGTCTAGAAAAAAGCTATTAGTAGTCTATTAATCTCTTTTAAGGATAAGTGATATTTAATTACAAAACTTTCTATAATAATTGGAAATAACTTGCAATATTCACCATTTTTATTATCTTACTTTGGTCTCTCCGTAGTCCTATGGGTTGAACAAAATGAGGATTTATTCTTTCCATTTAAAAAAATTAGTAACCTGAAGTTACTATGGCATTGGATTAGAACTCACTTCTAATTTTTACAAGACCCTTTTTCTACTAATCTGTTCCTACTTCATTTAAGATTATTGTACTTTGTATCCCTTCATTTTGTGAAGTTTAGAGAGGTCAGTCAGTACACATCATCTAGGCATCTTTCATGTATAGTGTGAAGAGAATGTTGAGACTCAACCAAATTCTTGTCCAAAATCTACTGACAAATTAATTCTTTAACTTTGAATGATTTCAGTACTCTGTGAGTTCAGTTCCCTCATATATAAAATGAACACAGGAGTATGCTTAAACTTCTGTGCTGGTCTAATACTTTGTCAAATATATGTTCCCTTCCTACTATGCTGAGTTATAATCCTCTTAAAAGTTTTGAGA